AGGTAAACCAATACAGGCACATACACTTGCACACACCAGTTCACAACCATAGCTTGAAAGCTATGGACTGCAATTCACAGATTTTCGCACATGCAAAGAGCTCTCTCTCATAATGCCCAACCTCACAATTGCACCCACGGCTTATATTTAAAGCATTTTCCTGGCTCACCAGTGGAACGTAAATTTCTCTTCTCACTTTCTGGATTTTCTATCGTCAACCTGGTGCCAATTTCCATTTAAAAAATGGTACCCAAGAAAGTCCAAGAACCTAGAAAGGAAAATGAATCTCAGCCCTGACAGATGGACGGGCGCCAGAGCTTCCCTACTCTGTGGCCGATGCCTCACAGACTGTCTTTGCGGCTGGGGTGCAAGGTCATGGGCAGAGGGCAATATCTGAATAGGTCTGTCAGGCTGGTGCCGAGGCCAGTTGTCAGTGGAAATGAAAGTGTTTGGGGTGAGAGGGGAGGGGTCCATGGCTGGCAGTAGGCAGGTGAAGGGAGCAGGAGGGAGGGATGAGAGCTCAGGCACATTAGCAGGCCCAGGGCCACTCGCTAGGATCAGCCCCAGTGGGGTGGTGCCACCTCTGAACTAGGAGTGGGGAGGGAGAGTCCCATGGTTTTCCAGAAAGTTACTGCGACAGCTTGGGCCCTCTCCATCGGGAAGTTACTTCTGCCTCTTTGGGGCAGTAGAGGCAGAATGAGAAGAAGGGAGTGGCTTGCTAAAACTCAAGAGCATTAAATGGAGAGACATCAGGAAAGCCCACTGTATTCCTTTGCCAGGCCTGCTGCCACAAAGTACCACACACTGGGCACTTAAACAACAGGCATTTATTGTTTCCAGTTTCTGGAAGCTAAAAGTCTAAAACCAAGGTGTTGGCAGGGTCGGTTCCTTGTAGATGGCCATCTTCCCCCTCTGGGTTTTTTTTTTTTTTTTTTTTTTAGGAGAAGGAAAGAGAGATTTATTAATTTGCTGGCAAATGGGGAGGATAGAGACTACTGTCTAAAAATGCCATTGTTCTGCCCCCTGTGTCTTCACATAATCTCTCCCCTGTGTGTGTCTTTCTCTGTATCCAAATTGGCCCTTTTTATTAATAGAAGGACACCAGTCATACCGGATTAGAACCCACCCTAATGACCTCTTTTTAACTTGATTACCCCTATAAAGACCCTGTCTCCAAATAAGATCACATCCTCAAGTACTTCTAACATATTTTTCTTTTCTTTCTTTTTTTTTTTTTTTTTTTTTTTTTTTTTTTTTTTGCTTGGGGGAGACACGATTTAGCCCATAACACTGCCAGAAAAAAATTGCCTTAATAACAGAACTGACAAAGATCCTGGGGTTGAACTTAGCACTTGTTGTTCATGACCAAACAGTTTAGCAGTTAGAAAGACAGGCCCCAATTTTGGAGGGTCAATTTATGACCCTCTAACTGCTCCTCATGGAAAATCAAGGCTCTGCACTGTGTTTTAAAGTTTTCTGTCAGACTCACTTATTTATTTTTCTTGCAAAATAATCTTTCTACAGGCATGAATGGCTTTATTTGTGTTCCTAATTGAGAATCAGCACAGTCTTTTGTGTTGGTTGAACTCATTAGAAATAGGTCCCTGAGGTCTGCATGAGACTCATTTTCACAGAGTTGCTAAGTCTTAGGAAAATTGTAGTTTACAACTTTAAGTGAATAAACATGGTTTTCTACAAACATTCTAACAAATTTAGTTTCCTATAACAAATATTCATGGTCTCAGATGTAAAAGTCTACAGTCCCTGGAACTATTAAAATAAACCTTTCGATATTTCAGGAAAGCTCCCTGTCCCCTTAGGAAATACACTTGGACAGAAAATCAACTTTATGATGACGAGATACAGAATAAATATGGATTGGACTTGCATTTCACAGTAACTGGAATGTAAATATTTGCTGCACTTCTCTCGCCTATCTAAATAAAGGCTAATGGTTAATCCAGGGCTTTGCACTCTCAAAAGTGCTCGTGCCCTCTCAAGACACCTGCTACTGAAGCTCAAAGCCTCTGGTCTCAACTTGATTTTAATCAAGTTTGATTCAACAGTGTTTGGAGTTTCTAATTTTTAATTTGACACAACTACTAGGAAACACTCCCAGGGCCCCTCCTGTAGAAGTCATGACCTTGGGGGGGGTGGCGGTTCTTAGGGCAACTCAAGGAAGACAAAGACGGGTCCAGAGCAAAGACTTTGGGGTTGGTCTGCATGGGTTGGGATTCCAGCTCTGCCACACACTTGCTATATGAACTCGAACAAAGTGTGTTAAGGTCTCTGATCCTCAGTTTCTTCGTTTGTAAAATAAAGGCAATAATAATACCAATTTTGTTAGATCGTTGTGAGAATTAAGTGAGATAACATATGGGTGGTGGGCATTGTGATGTGTCTCCCCCTTCGCATGCAAAGCCTTTTTCCCCCCAGCTGCTGGGTGTGCTGCCAGAAGATAGCTGGAGCTGTCAGCCCTCTTTGGGGATTGTCTCCACTGCAGAAAACTGCCTTGCCCAAGGTTACACCTCCTTCCCGGGGACAGCTTGTGTCAATGACTGATCAACATGGGAATGTAAAGGTTTGGCCCACCCCTTGTCCCAATTCAGGGACCTCTAGAGGACCTGCCCAGCTTCAGAGCTCCCCATGGGGCTGGCTGAGATCTTCGTTAGGACAGTGTCACAGCTCAGTTTCTCCCTCTGTCCCATCCTGTTTCCTCCCCTCTCTTCCCCAGGTCTTGATCCCAAGACACGTTCCCTCCTTCATTAACCTCCTGCACTCTAAGCTTTTGCTCAGAGTCTGCTTCTCCAGCAAGGACAATATGTGACAACATGTAGAGTGTTCAGAGAAGTGCCTGGCACATAATAAGCATGATTTAAGCATCTGTTAAACAGAAAGTTAGAAGATGAAGTAGAAGTTAGAGACCGTGGGATGTCCTCCATGCCTTGGAAGGCAAGCGTGGAATATAAATTTGTCTTAGAGATAGAAGCCTGGAGGATAGTCTTAGAATGGGATGGAGGAGACACATCAGACTGTATGCCCTAATCCAACTCCCTGGAAAGGAGAGAAGGAAGCAAAGATTTGGGAACTGCTTTAGCCCTCCCTGCCCTGAAGATCTCTGGCAGAGACTCGTAGAAAGGTGGAAGATGTAGAACATTCTTCCAGAATTTTTTAAATTCTATTTTTTTAATTCTATTTTTTTTTTCAAACTCTATTTTAACATGAGATCTCTGGATGATTTGTACTATTATAGCTCAACATTTTCCCAGAGCAAGAACACCTGGGACAAACAGAAGAACAGAATTTAGACCAGAGAGGAATAGACATCTGGGACAGCTCTTAGCCAAACATGCCTGAGACACAATGTGAGTTTTTCATTGAAAACTTTAAATGTCCAGCTTTTTTAAAGGGAATGTCTCTCTCTACTGTGACATGGGCCCACTTGCAGCCACTGGATGAAATGGCTGGCCACATACACCCTGGACTCTTACCACTGGTCAATGTGAGCGTCAAAAGGCAGATATCAGGGCCGGGCACAGTGGTTCACACCTGTAATCCTAGCACTCTGGAAGGCCAAGGCAAATGGATCGCTCATGGTCAGGAGTTCGAAACCAACCTGAGCAAGAGCAAGACCCCATCTCTACTAAAACTAGAAAGAAATTAATTGGCCAAGTAAAAACATATACAGAAAAAATTAGCCAAGCATGGTGGTGCGTGCCTATAGTCACAGCTACTCAGGAGGCTGAGGCAGAAGGATCACTTGAGCCCAGGAGTTTGAGGTTGCTGTGAGCTAGGCTGACGCCACGGCACTCTAGCCTGGGCAAGAGTGAGACTCTGTCTCAAAAAAAAAAAAAAAGCAGACATCAAAGGCATGTGCTATGCTAAGAAAGGTCTTTAAATAAAATGGAAGCCTATGGGGGGTAGGTAGACGTTAATTCTGTCTGGAGCAGTGATGGTGGGCTTCCCAGAGGAGGTGATGGTCAAAGTAGGTTTTGACAGATGAGTAAAAGCTCTCCAATCACACAAAGAGCAGAGGGATTTCTAACCAGAGGAAACAGCACATTCGTTGACACCTAGACACAAACAGGCAGGGAATGTTCAAGAAAAATTTAGGTGATCTGGTTTGGCTGGAGCTTGGAGTACTTGAGAAATGGCTTGAGAAGAAGTTGGAGAATCACAAACGGACCTGACCACAGCTGCTCCTGAATTCAGACCAACCTGAATTTTGTTGTGAAAATGATGGGGCACCCCCAGGACCCCCTAAGCACAGAACTGACTGGGCCAGACACTGTTTGGGAAATATCACTCAGGTGGTCGGTGTGGAGGATGAAGGGAAGGGCTCACCTGGCCACAAGGCACGTCCGTCGTTCTAGTTTGGGCTGGCCAATGAAGAGGAAGAAAGTGAGTTTTGCAGTTCTAAATGAAAGCCCGAAGACAAACACTGGTTTGGAAAAGACAGAAGGCCCCCAGTTGGAGGAAACCAGGGAGCTGGAGCAGTTTCCTCCTAAACAGCTGTGGTGTACAGGCGTTTGGATTTGGTTTGATTATTTAAATGTAATATACTTCTCACTGCCTCGCCTTGTTTTATATCAACATCTGAGGTGGCCGCAACAGTATCCGAATTATCCAGGGACTTGCTCAGCAAACAGCAGACGCTCAGCCGCGAGCCACAGCTGGGGAGCCCGTTTGTCTCTGGAATTTTTCAGCCATAAAAAGACCCAGATGTTCTAAGATGATTTTCTTGGTGCCGAAAAGACGCCAGATCTTAGCAAAGAACTGCCAAGAAGACAGGTGTCTTATGGTGGGTTCCTTGGAAACCGAGGTTGGGAGGGAGATTTGCATGCACAAGGTTCACAGGGGGGTGTCCCTGGGAGATACACCTGTGAGGAAGTGAGGAAGGCGGAGGCGGGCAGGGGAAGCTGACCTATGACCCGGTAGCAACTGAGGGCCCGGCCGTTCCTACGGGAGCTGGGAAGGCTCTATATTGATAACTCGCGCGTCAGCCATTCACCGGCCGCAGGCTTTCACTACGAGGAGCGAGGACGTTCCCACCGGCTGAGGGCAATGTCCAGTGAGCAATGCCACTATGAACTGACATTCTCAGCAGCCGGGGGATGGGTGCACGAGTCCTGAAGAGGGGATCTAGGAAGAGCCCCCCAATATCCACCACAATGGGGATCCAAATCAGCCTCCTGATCCATGAGCCCCCAAAGGGCACAGACTGTGCAGCCAGAGCTGGGTTCAGGGACAGGCCACGTTCAGGGGAGGGGGCCAGTTCAACCTAGTAACTGTGGCCTCAGTATCCTCTGGGTCAGCAAAGTGACATCTAAGCTCAGGGGCCACCTTGCTGGACGACGATGCCAGGAGCTATGCGCGGTCACGGTACCCAGCTGGAGACCCAAGATTACTCCAGAGAGTGAAATCTACATGGGGTGGCCCATCTAGATTAGTGAGTTCTTTTTGAGGATGCCACCAGACTCAACTGTGAAACATTTTAAAGTACATGTGCCCCCCTAGTTTCTGCTTCAGAAAGTCTGAGGCTGGCCTGGGAATGTGTATTTGTCTATAACTGAACGGGTGATTCTAGACTTCCTTGAGATCCTCCTCCCAACCCAGCCTGGACTGCCCGGGGTACAGACTTGTGTAGGTCAGTGTAGACACGAATGCCCGGAGGGCTCAGGTGGTAATCGCTGTCATATAGTGAGTCGGGTGGGGACAGGATGAACTCAAAGTGGAGAGAGCACAAGTCCCCACTTAGAGGGGACAATCAGAACTCAGTTCTCATAATGGCTAAATGGGATTGGGGTCTCAGGGAGGCCAGAGCTTTGCAGATAAACCAGAAATCCAGATTTTTGGTGCGATCTGATTTTAAAATGCTGACAATTAACTCAAATGTCCCTAACATTGTGTAAGCTGTATAAAACCAATGTATAGGTCTGGTTCTGTTCTTGAGGCACCAATCATGACTTTGGGTGTAGACTACTGCAGACCACACAGTGTGACAAGTCCTGTGTAGAATAGTGTAGACCATGGGTTGACCAAAATGGACAATCTCAAATGAGACAGGCTACACTATCCTAGATTTGACAGCATGAGTCGTCTTTGGTTAGAGATTGTAGATCATCTGAATTAGCCAGCCTGGATAGCCCTAAATTGGACAGTGTAGACCAGTGGTTTTCAACTGGGAGAAATGTTGCCTCCCAGGAGACATTTGTCAATTTCTAGAGACATTTTTATTGTCATAACTGAAGGGATTCACTAGCCTGTACCGGGTAGAGGCTAAGGATGTTGCTAAATATCCTACAATACATAGAACAGCCACCTCCATGAATAAAGAATTATCCATCCCAAAAGTCAATAGTGCCACTGTTGGGAAACTCTAATGTAGACCATCCTGGATAAAAACATAAATAGTCCTGGGTAGAACAGTGTAGAACTGTGCAATCCAAAATGGTAGCCCCTAACCACATAGGGCAATTGAGCATTTGCAAACTAGTTAGTGAAACACAGAACCTAAATGTTTTATGTTATTTTAATTCAATTTATACTTTACAAAATCTAAATACCAATCAGGTATTTCCAATGAAATAGTAACATCTGAATTGAGATGTCCTATAAGTATGATATACACACCAAATTTCAAAGCATAAGAAAGCATTTTATAAAAGGTAAGCTATTTCATAATTTTTATATTGATTATATGTTGATTTGATAAAATCTTTTGCTATATTGAGTTAAAGAAATATGAACATTGATTTATTTCACCTCCCTTTTGAATGTGGCTAACAGAAAATTTTAAACATGCGCACACATTATATTTCTACTGGACAGAGCTGGTGTAGAGCATCTTGGATTCCAGTTCCGGGTTGGATAGAGTAGATCATCCCAAGTTCATTTGTGTGGACAGCACTGGGCTGGAAAATGCAGACCATTCTGGATGTGTTCACATGGATGGGCTGGAGTTAAACAGCGTAGACGATTCCGGGTGGGAAAGGAGGGCGTGGAGAGGAGAATGAGATGGAGAGGAGGGTAGGTCACACAGGTACAGGTGAGGAGTTTGTACATCCCCTAACCCAAATGAACAGGGAGGCACTGAAGGGTTTTAAGCAAGAGAATGATGTAATTTGATTTGTGTTCTATGAAGATCGCTCTGGCAACAAAATGCAAAATGGATTGGAAAAGACAAGTCCAGCTTTTACAGAGAAGATATCCCAGCAGAGACTGTGACAGTATTTGTCTCCTCATCACATCCCCCAAGCCACCTGGCACATGCAGAGTGACCCTCAGTAAATACTCGAATGAATGAACCAATCAATCAATCAATAAATGAGGACGTGCTACAGGAACCTCCAGCGCTCTGTTCCCTCGTCCCAAGTCACACCTGAGTGTGGCTCAGGACATAGCCTTTTGCTGACCTTTTCTGAATACAGATGAATTCCTAGCTCCCACCTTCCTTTATTAAAAAAAAAAAAAAAAAGGAGAGTGAAAAAAAATCGTGTCTTGGAGAGAAACACTTCTTGGTAGCTGTTTTTCTTCTTCAAATTCTTAAATGAGAATATGTTGTCCAGAGAGAGTTGGAAGATGTAAAACCCAGCATCCATGTTCCCCAAACAACTTGTTTCTTTTCTGTGCAAAGAGAAGCGGACAGGGAAGGGGGACTTGGGGACCCTAGGGAGAGGAAGGGGGCAGCTCAGCAAGGAGGGCACAGATGTCACCTGCGAGTGGGACAGGGCCAAGCCAGAGCAGGTCCCTGGCCCCCAGTGCTAAGCCCAGAGCTGATACATTCCAGGCTGTGTGAGTGACCGCGGGCAAGTCCGTACAACCTCTCTGGGCTCGCCCTGGTCCCCGGGGGTGGTTCCTTTAGCACAGGGACAGCCTGAAGGGTCCCCAGGAGAAGATCCCACAGATACACGGGTGGGCAGGGCAGGGGTGTGGGTACAAGGACAGCAGACAGGAGTAACCCAGGCGTGTGGCCGCAGGGAGTCCTTGACTCCCTGGGCTGCAGTTTCCCTATAAGTAGCGAATACATGGAAGGTTCCCGGAGCTCCTGGCAAGGCTGAGCGTGTGCACTGTCCTCCGTGGAGCATGTGTCAGACAAGGGGGACACCAGGAGGGCTCCGCAAGTGCCAGATCTCTGAAGCCGAGAGGAGCGTGGCGAGGTGGAGCTGCCTTTCCCGGAGTGGACACTGGCCCCTGCGAGAGCTGAAGGGGCCCTCACTGCCCATAAGCTGTGGGTCAAGGTTGCCTAAATCCGTGACGAATCCATACCTGGCAGGAGAAGTTTTGCTCCCATTCCCCGTCCTGCAGGCTGGCACCGCCCACCCCACCCAGCCCACCCAGCCCCAAGGCTAACATCACAACAAGAAGGACATCTTTCACTGTGACTCAAGCGGAAGGCGAGTGCAGTGAGGTACCTGGGACACCTCCACGCTGCTTCGAGGGCTCTGACTGGTTTCAGATACTGTGTACCGAAGCTTCTCCTCCCCACCCCACCCTCCAGCCCCGCCTTCAGAATCACCGAGTGACAGGAGAGAAGACTTGGATTTGCCTGCAGAGGATCTGTACCCCACCTTCCTCCAGCTCAGGCTGGGGACAGAGCTCAGCAAAGCAGTTTTCTGGCCATTCCTGGACACTGGCTGTACCCAAGCCACCAGCAAAACATTGCCCAGGCATTTAGCAAGGGCCCATCGCGGCCCGGCCCCCTTCACAGTGTCCCTGTGAAAGTCGATCACTCCCAGGCTTGGAGTTCATGGACCAAAAGGAAAAAAATACATGTGGGGAACAAAGAAAGAGTTGCCTGTGCTTTATTTTTTACACTAAATTGGATTGTGCCACTTTCATCGCTTGAAATCCTTCAGTGCTGCCCTCTAGTGGCAGGCCCTATATCGTAGCTATTAGTCATAAGTGGCAATTTGAATTTAAATGTTAGATAATTAAAAACTAAATAAATTAAACTAAAATTTCAGTTCTTCAGTGGAGCTAGTCACATTCCAAGCACTCAGAAGTCACATGTGGGTAGTGGCTGCCACACCGGTCAGCGTGGATATACAACACATCCATTGTCACGGAAAGTTCTACAAGTTTGTGCTGCTCCAGCGGCTTCCTGTCATGTTTAGGATGAGACACATACTCCACTCCAACACCCAAGTGACCCAGCCCACCTTCCACCAGCCTCATCTTGGACGACTCTCTGCCCCTTTGAGAAACTGAGGCTCAGAACATGATTTTTCCAAAATCAACACATCTAATAAATGTTGAAACTTAGATCTGAACCCATGTCTGGCCCATGAGTATTCACCATCTCATTCAAGTTCTCTATCACCCATGGCATTGAGGAAAGGCCCCCATCCCACTCTTCAAAGCACAGCTCTACCCCTCTTCGGGACCCTGTTCCGATGGCTTGTCACATGGCATGCCTTCTGCCCATACCAAGGTCATACCAAGATCAAAGGCAGAATAAATATTCAGGGCTCCTCTCTTCCACCAGCAGAGGGGCATTTCCCTGGGCTGCTGGCTCTTGTTAGCCCAGAGCTCAGAGTGGACAGAAAAGGGAGTAGAGGAATCCCTTTTTAAAAAAAAATTGCTTGGAAGAAATTTCTTGATGGCAACATACATGTAAATACATGTTCGCACACAGGAATGCACCCCCACACACAAATGAACACAGTCAAGGATACACAGGCTTGCTAATATAGACGGGCAGTGCCCACAAACAAAGCATTCCAGTAAAACAGCCAGGAAGTGTCCCTCAACTTAATGAATGCAGAGTGGCTTCTCTCAGTGTGTGGCCTTCCAGTTTCAGCTCTGATAAGTCTCCAAGCTCCAACGACAAGGACCCGTGAAGGCTGTTCAAAGGCGCACATGCAGCCTCACAGAGCCTGAAAGCTCGTGAATGTGGATGCCAGGAGAATGGGCAAGAACAGCTGGGTGCTAAAAGGCAGCCCACAGGTGGCAGTCTGGAGGGAGACAGCAATGAGGGGACCCAGGGAAACACCCCCAGGGCCTCCCCAGGTGAAATGCAAGCCCCCACAGCACCGCCAAGAGCCCAATTCAAGAGCCAAACAGGTGCCCACAGGAAGAAGAAAAGAGGGAGGAGATGCCAGGATGGGTTTGAAACAGGAAATGTCAGGTGCAGAGTGGGAGCTCAAGAATGTTTGCAAAAATACCCGGCAAGGAAATGCTCTGGCTTCCTATAACGACCCCAAACAGGAAAGAACCCAAACACCCATCCATGAGAGAATGAAGACATGAATAAACAAAATATGGCATATTCCATACAGTATACAATGAAATATTACTCAGCAATTAATAAAACAACCACTGGCCAGACATGGTGGCTCATGCCTGTAATCCTAGCACTCTGGGAGGCCAAGGCGGGAGGATTCCTTGAGCTCAGGAGTTCGAGACCAGCCTGAGCAAGAGTGAGACCCCGTCTCTACTAAAAATAGAAAAAAATTAGCCAGGCGTGGTGGTGTGCACCTTGTAGCCCAGCTACTCGGGAGGCTGAGGCAGGAGGATCGCTTGAGTCCAGGAGTTTGAGGTCGCTGTGAGCTATGATGACACCACTGCACTCCAGCCTGGTGGCAGAGTAAGACCCCATCTCTAAAAAGATAAAATAAAATAACTACTAATACATACAAATGAATCTCACAGGCATAACATTGAATGAAAGAATCTAGATACCTAGGAAACATACTGCGTGACTCTCTTTATATAAAACTTAGTAATTGTCAAGAATAATCTGTGCTGTCGGACATCAGACTAGTGGTTAGGTTAGCTCTGTGGGGAGGAAGCTGGACATGGACTTGGTGGGAATGTAAATTAGCACAGCCATTGTGGAAAACAGTAGGGAGGGTCTTCAAAAAACTAAAAGTAGAACTACCACCATCTCACTTCTCGGTATACATCCAAAGGAACTGACATCGATATGTCAAACGGACATCTGCTCTCCCATGTTCATTGCAGCAGTATTCACAATAGCCACGATGTGGAATCAACATAAGTGCCCACTGATGGGAGAATGGATAAAGAAATGTGATATATACACAATGGAATACCAGTCAGCCTGTAAAAAGAAGGAAATCCTGTCATTTGCAATAACGTGGATGAACTTGGAGAACGTTATGCTAAGGGAAAGAAACCAGGCACAGAAAAACAAATACCACGTGATCTCACTTATAGCTAAAAAAGTCAAATGTGTAGACGTAGAGAGTAGAATGGGGGTTCCCGGGGACTGCAGGGGGGAGGCTGGGGAAGGAGGGAATGGGGAGTTGATCAAAGGCTACACAATTTCAGTTAAAGAGGAGGAATAAGTTTTGAGATCTAATAATGTACTGTATACAGTCAAGCCCAGCACAATGACATTGGTCAGTGACAGGTCACATATATGGTGGTGGTCCCATTATAATACAGCTGCTCTATATAGCTGCACCATTTTTATCTGTTATGTCATATTTTTACTGTACGTTTTCTATGTTTAGATACGAAGATACTCACCACTGTGTTACGATTGCCTACAGTGTTCAATACAGTAACACGTTCTACAGGTTGTAGCCTAGGAGCAATACGTTATATCATCTAGTCTAGGCATGCAGTAAGCCATACTATCTAGGTTTGCGTAAACACACTCTATGATGTTCGCACAGTGACAAAATCACCTAACAATGCATTTCTCTGAATGCAGTCCTGTGGCTGACACATACAGGACTGCATTTCAAAATAACCAAGAGAATAAATTTCAGATGTCTCACTGCGACAAATCGGTAAGTAAAGTGCTGACTATGCTAATTGTCTTGATTTAAT